ACCCCAGCCCTGTCCCCGTACCCGTCTCCACGTCCTGCACGTAGAAGTGGAGATCGTCCGTGATCTCCGTCACGAAGACGGGCTTGTAGTTGGCCGTGCGCTCCTTCTCCTCCAGCACCTGCACCACCTCCTCCACCGGGGTCTCCTCGTAGTGGGACCACACCTGGGGGGTGGGGGGACACACACATGGGGTGGGGGACCCCATGGCCACGCTTGATGCCACCAGCAAGGGGATGATGGCTGTGGTGGCAACCAGCAGGTGGAGCATCACTGGGCTCCAGCACCGTGGATGCCAGGAGCCTTGGGGTGGGGACATCTCTTGGGGTGGGGACATCTCTTGGGATGGAGACATCCCCTGAGGTGGTGACATTCCTCAGGGTGAGGACATCCCTTGGTTTGGGGACATCTCTTGGCATGGGGACATCTCTTGGCATGGGGACATCCCTTGGGGTGGTCACATCTCTTGGGATGGGGACATCCCTTGGGGTAGGAACATCCTTCGGGTTGGGGATATCTCTTAGGGTGAGAACATCTGCCATGGAGACATCTCCTGGGGTGAAAACATCTCTTGACATGGGGACATCCCTTGGGGTGGGGACACACCTTGGGGTGAGGACATCCCTTGGGGTAGAGACATCCCTTGGGGTGGGGATGTCTGTTAGGATGGAATCACCCCTTGGGGTGGAGATATCTCATGGGGTGGAGATGACATGGGGTGGGGCCATCTCATGGGGTGGGGCCATCTCTTGGAGTGGGGCCATCTCTTGAGATGGGTTCATCCCTTGGGGTGAGAACGTCTCTGAGCATGGGGACACCTCTTGGGATGGAGACATCCCTTGGGGTAGGGACATCCCTTGGGTTGGGGCTATCTCTTAGGTTGAGAACATCTGCCATGGGGACATCTCTTGGGGTGAAAAGATCTCTTGGCATGGGGACATCCCTCAGGGTGGGGACATGCCTTGGGGTGGGGACATGCCTGGGGGTGAGGACATCCCTTGGGGTAGAGACATCCCTTGGGGTGGGGATATCTGTTAGGATGGAATCATCCCTTGGGGTGGAGATGACATCTCATGGGGTGGGGCCATGTCTTGGAGTGGGGCCATCCCTTGAGATGGGTTCATCCCTTGGGGTGAGAACGTCTCTGAGCATGGGGACACCTCTTGGGATGGAGACATCCCTTGGGGTAGGGACATCCCTTGGGTTGGGGCTATCTCTTAGGTTGAGAACATCTGCCATGGGGACATCCCTTGAGGTGGGGACGTCTGTGGGCATGAGGACACCCCTTGGGGTGGTGACATCCCTTGGGGACGGTCCTACCCCAAGCTCACCTTCTCCTTCTTCTGCTTGGCGGCCTCCTCGGCGGCCAGGAGGGCCTTGTAGTAGGGGCTGCGCTCGGCGGTGAAGTGGACCTTGGAGAGGGCGTGTTCCACCAGGGCCACCGACAGGTTGAGGCCCTCGATGTGCAACCACCCGATGAAGTTCCCCGCCTTGTCCATGCTCTCCACCTCCACCTCCACCTGCGGCACCCATCAAAGGGGGAGACATCAGCCCTCTGCACCCTCAGGAACCGGCCACCCACCCGTCCCCACCCCGTGTCCCCCACAGCCACCGTCCCCAAAACGTTCCTCCTCATCTCAGCCGCTTCCAGGAACCCAACTCATATCCATGGGCACGTCGATCTGGTCATGGGCACCCAGCTCTGCTCCGTGGGCACCCAAGTCTGCTCCGTGGGCACCCAAGTCTGCTCCATGGGCACCCAAGTCCTCTCCATGGGCACCCAAGTCTGCTCTATGGGCACCCAGCTCTGCTCCGTGGGCACCCAAGTCTGCTCCATGGGCACCCAACTCATCTCCATGGGCACCCAGATCTGCTCCATGGAACCCAGACGTGCTCCATGGGCACCTCACTCAACTCCTGGGCACCCAGATCTGCTCTGTGGGCAACCAACTCAGCTCCTGGGCACCCAGCTCTGCTCCTGGGCACCAAACTCAGCTCCATGGGCATGTAGATCTTCTGGACACCTAAATATTCTCCTGGGCACCTAGATCTGCTCCATGGGCACCCAAATCTGCTCCCGGGCAACCAACTTTGCTTCTGGGCACCCAGATCTACTCCATGGGCACCTAGATCTGTTCTGTGGGCACCCAAATCTGCTCCTGGGCACCTAGGTTTGCTCCTGGGTAGCCAGCTCATCTCCACGGGCACCCAAACCTGCTCTGTGGCCACCCAGATCTTCTCCTGGGCACCTTGGTCTGCCCCATGGCACCCAAGTCATCTCCACGGGCACCCAACTCATCTCCATGGGCACCCAAATCTGCTCCTGGGCACCCAGATCTGCTCTGTGGGCAACCAACTCAGCTCCTGGGCACCCAGATCTTCTCCTGGGCACCTAGATCTGCTCCACGGGCACCCAACTCTGCTCCACGGGCACCCAACTCATCTCCATGGGCACCCAAATCTGCTCCATGGGCACCTAGATCTTCTCTGTGGGCACCCAAATCTGCTCCTGGGCACGTAGATCTGCTCCTGGGTAGCCAGCTCATCTCCACGGGCACCCAAACCTGCTCTGTGGCCACCCAGATCTTCTCCTGGGCACCTTGGTCTGCCCCATGGCACCCAAGTCATCTCCACGGGCACCCAACTCTGCTCCACGGGCACCCAACTCATCTCCATGGGCACCCAAATCTGCTCCTGGGCACGTAGATCTGCTCCTGGGTAGCCAGCTCATCTCCACGGGCACCCAAACCTGCTCTGTGGCCACCGTGCCAGGTCTCAGCCCACCTAGATCTGCTCCACGGGCACCCAACTCTGCTCCACGGGCACCCAACTCATCTCCATGGGCACCCAAATCTGCTCCATGGGCACCTAGATCTTCTCTGTGGGCACCCAAATCTGCTCCTGGGCACGTAGATCTGCTCCTGGGTAGCCAGCTCATCTCCACGGGCACCCAAACCTGCTCTGTGGCCACCCAGATCTTCTCCTGGGCACCTTGGTCTGCCCCATGGCACCCAAGTCATCTCCATGGGCACCCAAGTCTGCTCCTGGGCAACCAGATCTGCTCTGTGGGCAACCAACTCAGCTCCTGGGCACCCAAATCTGCTCCTGGGCAACCAGATCTGCTCTGTGGGCAACCAACTCAGCTCCTGGGCACCCAGATCTTCTCCTGGGCACCCAAATCTGGGCACCAGCCATGACGGAACCATGTCCCCCCCCCTCCCCAGCACCCCAGAGCCATGTTAGTCCTCCCCATCAGTGTCTCAACTTGTGCTGGGCACCCAAGTCTGCTCCTGGGCAACCAGATCTGCTCTGTGGGCAACCAACTCAGCTCCTGGGCACCCAAATCTGCTCCTGGGCAACCAGATCTGCTCTGTGGGCAACCAACTCAGCTCCTGGGCACCCAGATCTTCTCCTGGGCACCCAAATCTGGGCACCAGCCATGACGGAACCATGTCCCCCCCCCTCCCCAGCACCCCAGAGCCATGTTAGTCCTCCCCATCAGTGTCTCAACTTGTGCCCGGTCTCAGCCCTGAGCCTGGACTGGGGGTGCAGCCGGGGGGGTCCATGGGCACTGGATTCTGTGCCACATGGGGGTACTTTTGGGGGGTCTGGGGGCCACCAGCCACGGACGGAACCATGTCCCCCCCCTCCCCAGCGCCCCAGAGTCGGGCTAGTCCTCCCCATCAGTGTCTCAACTTGTGCCCGGTCTCAGCCCTGAGCCTGGACTGGGGGTGCAGCCGGGGGGGTCCATGGGCACTGGATTCTGTGCCACATGGGGGTACTTTTGGGGGGTCTGGGGGCCACCAGCCACGGACGGAACCATGTCCCCCCCCTCCCCAGCGCCGCAGAGCTGGATTCATCCTCTCCATCAGTGTCCCAACTTGTGCCAGGTCTCAGCCCTGAGCCTGGACTGGGGGTGCACCGCCCCCCGGGGCACGAGATTCTGTGCCACATGGGGGGACTTTGGGGGGTCTGGGGGCCCCCAGCCACGGACGGAACCATGTCCCCCCCCTCCCCAGCGCCGCAGAGCTGGATTCATCCTCTCCATCAGTGTCCCAACTTGTGCCAGGTCTCAGCCCTGAGCCCGGGGAGGGGGGTCTGGATGATGGGGGTCCACGGGCACCAGATTCTGTGCCACATGGGGGGACTTTGGGGGGTCTGGGGGCCCCCAGCCACGGACGGAACCATGTCCCCCCCCTCCCCAGCGCCGCAGAGCTGGATTCATCCTCTCCATCAGTGTCCCAACTTGTGCCAGGTCTCAGCCCTGAGCCCGGGGAGGGGGGTCTGGATGATGGGGGTCCACGGGCACCAGATTCTGTGCCACATGGGGGAATTTTTGGGGGTCTGGGGGCCACCAGCCATGAACAGATCCATGTCCCCCCCCCTCCCCAGCGCCCCAGAGCCATGTTAGTCATCCCCATCACTGTTCCAACTTGTGCCAGGTCTCAGCCCTGAGCTTGGACTGGGGGTGCACCGCCCCCCCGGGCACCAGATTCTGTGCCACATGGGGGGACTTTGGGGGGTCTGGGGGCCACCAGCCACAGATGGAACCATGTCCCCCCCCCTCCCCACCACTGCGGAGCTGTATTCATCCTCTCCATCAGTGTCCCAACTTGTGCCAGGTCTCAGCCCTGAGCCTGGACTGGGGGTGCAGCCGGGGGGGTCCATGGGCACTGGATTCTGTGCCACATGGGGGTACTTTTGGGGGGTCTGGGGGCCACCAGCCACGGACGGAACCATGTCCCCCCCCTCCCCAGCGCCCCAGAGTCGGGCTAGTCCTCCCCATCAGTGTCTCAACTTGTGCCCGGTCTCAGCCCTGAGCCTGGACTGGGGGTGCAGCCGGGGGGGTCCATGGGCACTGGATTCTGTGCCACATGGGGGTACTTTTGGGGGGTCTGGGGGCCACCAGCCACGGACGGAACCATGTCCCCCCCCTCCCCAGCGCCGCAGAGCTGGATTCATCCTCTCCATCAGTGTCCCAACTTGTGCCAGGTCTCAGCCCTGAGCCCGGGGAGGGGGGTCTGGATGATGGGGGTCCACGGGCACCAGATTCTGTGCCACATGGGGGAATTTTTGGGGGTCTGGGGGCCACCAGCCATGAACAGATCCATGTCCCCCCCCCTCCCCAGCGCCCCAGAGCCATGTTAGTCATCCCCATCACTGTTCCAACTTGTGCCAGGTCTCAGCCCTGAGCTTGGACTGGGGGTGCACCGCCCCCCCGGGCACCAGATTCTGTGCCACATGGGGGGACTTTGGGGGGTCTGGGGGCCACCAGCCACAGATGGAACCATGTCCCCCCCCCTCCCCACCACTGCGGAGCTGTATTCATCCTCTCCATCAGTGTCCCAACTTGTGCCAGGTCTCAGCCCTGAGCCTGGACTGGGGGTGCAGCCGGGGGGGGGTCCATGGGCACTGGATACTGTGCCACATGGGGGGACTTTTGGGGGTCTGGGGGCCACCTGCCACGGACGGAA